GTATAATTGGGTTTTCCTGGCTTCCGGATGGTTACAATTGCTGCTTTTTTCCAAGCTATGGGGAAACTAGACAGGTGAAGACATTTATTTATTATTGCTAGGTAGAGTTCTATATAAACTATAGACCAACCCAAAAACTACATATACTTCACATACTCCATTATTACAAATAAATTATACCAAATGACACGAAACTCGAATTTCCATAACACCCGTAACACTTTTTCAAATGTACCTCTCACTCATACCAATATAATCCTACTGTTTTGCTAAATATCACAGACTCTGACATTCTATACACCTTAAAAAATAAAATCAGTCCTTATATACTTTACCGATGTAATGGCTCTTATAGATTTTAACACGCTTAACGATATTGATAAATCAATAAATATAGAATGTAAGAAACACGATCTTGTTGAAAATTGTAAAAATTCGATAGTTGAGTGCTACCTACAATTTTAAAATTCCTACTTATAATATCCGTAGCATCCAGAAAAACATTAATTCTTTTCAGGTAGCCTTGCAACGATTGGATTCTAACATTGACATCATGATAATGACAGAGTGTTGGATCCCTAATGGATCAATTATTGCCCAAATACCCGGGTATAATTCGTACCACACGTCCCATATCAACAATAGAGCTGGTGGGGTGGTCGCTTACATCAAAGATTCAATAGTCACAGTCAAAGATTCAGTAGCACATCCACCCGCACACACATAAAACACGTACACTAAAACACAGACGCACCTAATTGCATGAATATAAATTACTAATAAAAAGTTTTATATAATCTAAGCGCTAGTAAAAATCGTAATTTTGTTTATTTATTTATTTTGTCCGGTCGCCACAATACAGGCATGTCCTAGTGTGGAAGCCATAGGTAACTTTATAATAATTTCAATGTTGTAAACTTAAAATTGTTTAATATCATTGTAAACTTTACTTTTCAATAAATTATTATTATTATTATATTTAAATTCATCGCTCTGGAGTAGATATCAGCGGTGAAGCCATCTAGACTTGGTGCCTTCGTAGGTTTAAAGGTAGTTAAAATATCTTTTAATTCGTTGGAAGTGAATGGCGGATCTGGGGTATCAGATCTTTCCACGTGTATTACTTTAGCCTTTCTCCTTATTTCTGTGTGGTATTCTGATCTACTTCTTCTTTATCTTCAGGAAAAAATGTTTCCGCCATCCACTCTGCCGATTTCTGGGCGCTTAAAACTGTACCGTCTTTTATTAGAAGTTCTTCCTCCTGAAATTTAGCAGATGATTTCATAACTCTGTAAATGCAGTCCCACATAGTTTCTTTTTCTTGCTTCGTGCAGAATTGTTTCCAGCTGCTTGTTTGTGCTTTAATCGCTTCTAAAATGTATTTTTCTCTTGCTTCCAGGTATTCTGCTATCACTGCCGACCTCCGCGTCTCTGCTGCGCACCTTATGCGTCGTTTCTTAGTGGTCATGTCACGTTTTAAGTCACTAAGTTCGTCGTTCCACCACGGGAGCTGGCCTGGTTTTCGCTTGCCTGTCTTAGGTATGGAAGCCTCGCATGCTATTCTGATGCAATCTGAATATTCTGCTATTTTGATTTATAATTCTTCTTTTGTGTGTTTGATTGATACTTTCTATATTTTCTTTCTGTATGTCTTTCTTTATTATTGCTTTACGAAACTCCACATCGAAATGCTTCCAGTTCGATTTTATGGTTTTATAGATTCTCGTACTTTTCCTTTCTATATGATTGCTTTCTTTTCCTATTTCTAGGTTGTATGTGATTGCATTATGGTCTGAGCTGGTAATACCTTTGTCAACTTGCCAGTTTTTTATTTTTGGAATAAGCTGTTCCGTGCCTGCAGTCACATCCACCCTGCTCGTGCACAACTTTCCATTCCTTACCACTTCGAAAGTTGGCTCGTCTCCTTCATTTAATATGTGCAATTCTTGTTCTTCTAGGTATGCTGCCAACTCTGTGCCACGATGGTCCTCACTTGCACTGCCCCACCAGGTACTCCATGCGTTAACATCACCACCCAGAAGCACCAGTTCCTCGAGGATAAAGGTGAGTTCATTTAAGTAAGTATCTAAGTCTTGATCTGGTTCAAAATACACCGATACAAGAACTAATTTCCTATAGTTCTTTTCTTGAATTATTAACGTAGTAATGTTTTCTGATTGTAATTTAGGGTTAACTGTAACGTTTAGATTATTGTCAAATATGATTATTGCCGATTTAATAGGTTTTGTTCTATTTAGTGTTTTTTGTATAACTCTTGTGCCGGCGTATTTTTTCACCTCTCCGGTAGAGCCCACATATGGCTCTTGTACTAGTGCGATACTGGCTTTCCTATTTACTGCTTCGCTAATTAAATCTTGGGTAGCGATTTTGGCTCTTTGTAGGTTGACCTGTATCACAAAATGCTCCGTACTATTATTATTTATCCGTATTCTGTCTTGTTCTTTTTTTGCGTTTTTTACGGTTGGAACAACTTTAGCAATAAGCAATGGTTTGCCTTGCTAATGCATCCCAATTTTTACGAATAGGACATGAGTTGTCAATGGCGTTGTGATTAAGTTTTTCTAGCTTGGCCTCTCGGCAGTTTTTGCAAGAAGCTCGTTCGTGTTTTTCCCACTTAGGACAATCTGCCTTTAAGTGCGACTCGCCGCAGTGGGAGCAAAGGTTTTCCGGTTCTTTGCATAGTTTTCGACCATGGCCATAGCCCAAACATTTCGTGCACTGTATGAGTGGAGATTGATCTTCCACCACACATTTTTGCAGATCAATGAAGACCCGCTCCGTTTCGGTCAGGTTTTGCCAGAGCTTGGGTGATACTTGTAGCACAATGTGGTTTTCGAGCTGGTTTCTAGCCTTACGGCGATATCTAACCACTGCACGATATTCTTCGGTTGGGATACTACTTATCACTGTCTTATTTTGTTTTTGCAGTGCATTTATTATTTCCTCATCCGTGTGATATGACAGGACGTTTTTATCACTACCAATGGATCCTTATTTTTTGCAATCTCCACTTTGAGTTCTTTGCACCCTTTTTGTATTTTCTTGGAGATTTTTTCTATTTCCTCCTTATTTGAGCAGCTTAACACCACTTTCTGGTTTTGTTTGTTTGGTTTTCTTTTTCTACATGCAAACCGCTGTTTTGTGCATCGACTGCAGTCCGAAGCTTGTTGAGAACCACTTCGCTGGTGTCATTTGTGTTTTCTGACGAGATTATTAGGCTGTGTGTGGGATTAGTGTTCCGTTTAGGTGCGGTTTCTATGGGCACTTGGGGTGTATATGCCTTGGACGCTGCAGCTATTTCCGCATAGGTTTTCCTATCATCTATCAGTATTTTCTTAATCTCCATTACTTCCTGTAATATCTTTTCATCCTGTCGCTCCTTTCCTTCAGCAAATTTGTTTTTACCCTCACCCTCTGTAAAATCTTGTCTTTCCATTTCTTTAATTATTTTATACATCCCTTCGAGACTGTGAATTATAGTCTCTTTTATTGTCCTTTTCAGGTTTCCAGAGAGTTTCATCTGCTCCATGGCTGCATCGAGCGTCACTTTTGCTTTCCCCGAAGGGGTTTCCGCGGACGTGTCCATTGCCTGGTTAATTACCTCCGTGAGGTTTCGGCACGCTTTCGGCTTCGGGGATCCAGTAAGCTGTGCCATTTGAGGCGTTTCTTTATTTTTACTAGGTGGTGTGCGAGTTGTCATTGTTTTTCTAAGTTATGTTAAGGTTAGGTTAGCTTAGGGTTAGGTTTAGAAATTAAAAACCTTATAGATTTTTATCTTTTAACTCAATTTTATGATTTAAACGTTATTGGAAACTTCAGTAATCCTAATATTTTTCAGTTTTTGTAAAAACTGATTATTCTAAATATTTTAGATTTAACACTAAAGTAAACAAAATTGGTGAAAATTTTTTGAATTTTACTATTTAAAAATACTTAAAATTAGAAACTAATAAAATAATAACTTAAGTAGGTAGTACTACTTTAACTTAATAAATCTAAAAAGGAATTATGAAAATCTAACGAACAATAAAGGAGTTATGAATTGTTTGAAAGTTAATACAAAATCACCCGTACAATTTTAGTGACTGGGTGTTTATCGCTCCCTCGGATAACAGATGTGTACCCAGACGAGAACAAACCTATGTGCTATTAAAAACTAAACTAAAATGTAAAATGATTTTTTTATGAATTAATTAAGATTTGAAAATTTTTTTGTCCTATACAAAAGACATCAACGCGTGCAATGTTTACATTGATTTTACGAAATTTACTATGAATTGCTACAAGAAGTGAAAAAATTTAATATTTTGAAAACTATTGAAACTAACTCTATTTTTACAACGGATTAAGGTCTAACAAAAAATCTAGTATGTGCCTACAAAATTTTAGGAGAATCCGGGTATTCTTAGCGAACGAAATAGGGCTTGGTTAGGTTAGGTTAGGTTTTTTTTTTCACTTCATCCGTGCTAACTGTGAAAATCCCTCAGGAGCCTAAAAAGTATCGTATGTCCTTATTCAGGTAATCTATACATATAATAAAAAATGATAGGAAAGTCAAAACTATACTGTGTTTAATATTTTTTTAAAAGAATAGTTGGGGTGTGATCTACAGTCGATACCGAAGCCAAAAATATAGTTTTTAGATTTTTGTCTGTTTGTCTGTATGTATATCCGGGATAAACTCCAAAAGTACTGCATGGATTTACTTCAAATTTGGCACGAATATTATTAAGAAGTTGGGTCAACATATAGGCTAGATATTATCACGCTATCACCTACGGGGAACGAGCACTGAACCCTTTTGGGGTCAAAAAGTATGTGCAAATAACTAACTCCACGCGTACGAAGTCGCGGGCGGCCGCTAGTAAACTATATGTGTGTCAAATTTCATCCAAATCCGTTCAGCAGTTTTAGCTTGATTGAGTAACAAACATACAAACTTACACATTTATAATATTAGTAGGATAAGTTTCTCTCACCTGAAGTGTTTCTGTATCACCGTCGGCGTCGCCCGTTTCGCCGCCTCCGCCGCGGTCGTTGACGATATCCTGCAAGTATACCCTTATCAGAGCAGCTCATTTCATCTCTAATACTGGCACTTCAAATGGCTTTTTTAACAATTTGACAACAATCCCTTTCTTTACCTATAGAGCATGATAAAGACATACGGCTGTCAAAATAATAAGATTAATAGCAATCACGAATAGCCGTGTGAAGTGAAAGCATTACACACCAAACTAAGAGGAAAAGATTTGATTATTTCCATGAAATATTTCAGGTAGTGATTTTAACTACGTTTTATTTTAGATAACTTTTTATTATTGTAATAAGGGTGGCAAACAAGCATACGGACCGCCTATTGGTAAGCTTTGCGGCAAGACGCTTGAGGTACTGCCATAACGAACTTTTTGATCGTCTTGATTCTGGTTTGTATCTTTTTGATATACATATCTGATTTCCATAAGTCTTAGGTAATAGTTATGCTACTGAATACAAAAAAAGACTTCCCACTAACTTTTATACTTAAAGGAATGATTGTGATTCGGGTAAATATAAGTGTAAGATGCATTTATAAATAAAAAAAAATATTCAATATAAAATTTCACGCGGTCCAGGCAGCAGGCGGGTTTCGAACCCGCACCCTCCACTATCTGGGTGGATGCACTGACCAATTATGCTATCGCGACCTTAATGGCCGTGTCAAATTTCTTCTAGTATTTCTTAGGCTGAATCTATACCTCCTGGTCATATCATAAGAATGACCTGATAATGCCAAAAACCCACACGGTATATGAGTTATAATATCGCTGGATTTAGTCAACGAGATAATAATATAGATAAGTTCTGAGATCGCAATGATGAATTTATGAGACAGCTGCTTGTAATGATGAAAATTATGAAACATCTCATTAGCACTCTCGTGTTCAGTTTTGTTGAAACTGTTTTCACGTATGACACGTAAGCTGCTAGCGTTGCCAAAATATGATTAGCACTTTTGCTTCTTGGTGTATAAATATATACCATAAATATAATTGTGTCCTCTACAACTTCAGTAGTTTTTCCAAATTCATCATACATGTTGGCGACTGGCTGGTTAATCATAGTCATTTTAATTATATTCTTTTTGTCATCCTTTTTATTACTAGTCTCTTTCAATTTTGCTTTTGCTTTTGCTTGTCATTCTGGTTGTTCTTGTTATTGTTCGTATTATATTTTATTTCTACTTGCAAGGCTCGCTTTTATTTGCCCGTCCACTTATTCGATAATAATACACATACATCCGTTCCCAGTTTTAGGCGTGTTTGTTGGCTTCACCATCGTTATTTCCTTGCCATGTTCCCAATTTTTAACGTACTTTTTTTCGATATCGCGTCCAGTCGTCTGTAGCTATATGAGCTTCTTTTTGCCATCTTATTTAACTTCATCAAACTTTGACAAAAAGTTAACTTGGTTGTAACTGGCTACTCTGAAAATATATTCACATAAATGAATATATGATTTGGGACTTTTAGTAAATATGTTAAGTACCATCTTTTGTTCAAAATATAATAAAACAGTAACATAGGTTATTTCAAGGAACATTTTAGCTGTATGATAAATCTGAAATATGAAGTTTGTCATGTTGTCGCTTTGTAATAGCATATTATTGTGCCATTAACACCTTTGTGTAGCATTTAGAACTTTATATATGTAATTTGAAATACTATTAAAATGAGGAAATATTACACATACGAATTTCTCCCAAAGCGTAGCTATCCAACAGGGAAGGAAGTGATCGGCACAGCAAATTCGATTCGACAAAATAGAATCGCAGCCTCTGTGGTATTTCGAATTGACAGTTTCAACGAAAGCTTGCATAATACTTGAAGTAAACTGCCGATATTTCTGTTAATCGGTCTAATATTACTCGGTCAGCGCACAGACAAATTTAGAATAGGCAAAAGGTTCATTGTACCGATTCTGTAGAACGAACGTGCGAAGCGCGATTTCGGTCAATAGTCACGTGACTTCTCTAGGAAAAACAGAGGCGATTTATCATTATGAAAATAAAACGCACATGTATGAGGGTATGAAGTAGTCATTGAGATTTAGTAGAAATAAAATTGGGGACTGGCGTCACGTACAGCGAGCAATGTTCGTACAAACAAAGCTCAAACTAGGCATACCGTAGTGTACATATGCATCAAAATAAGTATTTATCTGTAACATTGCCCGCCTAGCTTTTTATTTGATATAATTATTCATTGAATATATTTCATCTATTGCATCTGTAGTATAAATACAACAAAAAGATGTTGACGTTTTAACATTTCAAATTTTATAGCGCACTACGGAGTTTAAGTCGAATCGAACATTTGGATAAAAACTACCAATATACAGAACACTTTAACTAAATAATACTATTCAGCGCCTATATTTAAAGTTGAATTTTGATATAACGTAATAATTACAGTCGTTGTAGTTTCGACGACGTACGACGAAATTTACATACATCGAATGTCGATATTCAGAGTACGGCCTCTGATACCGAATGGTGTTGGTTCGATACCTGCCAGATATCTGGGCAGAGTTGAATATTCATTAAACATTATACCCCATTTACACAATAGTGCTAGCCATTCGCCTCGTCACTCGACGGAACCACGGTAATATTATATACAGTATTCTATCTTCATACAAACGGTCGGAAAGCGAATCATACCTACGCCACTAGAGTTCGCGGGACTCTCGGGGGACACCCAGTCGCGAATGCGTCGCAGCGACGACCGAACGGTGTTAATTGTTTTTTATGCAGTTAGCCGTGCTTAAACGTGCGATTTGTATTGTAAATATTTGATTGAATTAAGGAGATACCTACATAATTTAATATGGCAAAGAACAAACGACGATATTGTACTGTTTTTGTTTGTTATTATTCTTTAATAACGCACCCAGAGATAACATTTTTTAAAATACCTGAAATATTGGAAAGGTAAGACTATAGAATATTTCTTATATACCTATCTACTAGTACGTAATTTGTTTTTAATATTTAGGTATATCGATTTTACTATCGGGCAAAATATCTGGAATAATATATAAATAAGTGGATAGGGTGAAAAAAGAGACAAACGAGTAATCTACCTACACTCGTGTTAAACACAAAACTACATAATAGGTAGGTAGTTTCCTAGACTAGGCTATCTACTTACTTAACTACATACATTATTGAATAACTGAACTACATACATTATTGAATTAAATGAAATATCATTATGAAATAATTTACGAGAGTAATAAATGGTAGGTATTGTAGTGATCGGATATTTTTGGTGTATACTGACAGGTTATTATGGTCTAAGAGCTGGCTACGAAAAAGTGAACTGATAAGGTGTAGTAACGAGTTATATATATAACCTCTCCTTGGTAGCTTATAAGTATAGAGCGAGGCCCGTCAGAACTCTCTCCAGGGGCGGAAGGCGCGGGTGGGCGGTCAAAATCGTAAATTTTCAATAAGAAAAAAATGATAAGGTGCAGTTCTGAAATTTGGTGGAGTTATAGTTTTTAACTGTAGGAAACTAGGAAAATTATTGTCAGAAGTCTAAGTCGGGGCTTAAAGACTGTCAGAAGTCGACAAAGTTGTAAAGAAATTGTTTAAATTTAAACCACAAGGTGTAGTTCTGACAAATGCATTTTTATATTATTTGTTGCTTATCGAACCTGTATATAAATTGTCAGAAGTCTTAATAATGGCTAAGTTCATAAAAATTGATGATATAGTCAGAAGTTGCTGAAGCGGCTATCGCGACAGAAAGCAACTTTTCGAATCTAGTTTTGAGTTAAAATAACAAGGTGCAGTTCTGACAATTGAATTTTTATATTATTTTTAGCTTACCGAACCTGCATATATATTGTCAGAAGGCTTAATAATGGCTAAGTACAGAAAAATTGATGATATGGCCAGAAGTTGCTGAAGCGGCTATCGCGATGAAAAGGAAGGTTTAAAATTAAATAACAAGATGCAGTTTTGGCTATTTATTGTTTTTATTATTTACACTGTTATTTCAATAAATATGCAAATAAGGTTAAGCGAGGGAGATAAAAAATTATATATAAAAACTGTGATGTCGAGTAATCGCTGACTTAGACGACAAACTTTAAAAAAAATATATTCGTATTCAAAAAAAAATTAAGTAAATAAATAATATGAAAAATGAAATAGAATCGATAAGTTTTACCGAGAGCATTAAAAAAATTTTTTTTGAATGTCAACATTTATTTTGCGCTAAGTAGTTTCTCATAACATACTACTTTACGATGCTTTAAACATGACAATAAAAACTATTTAGACCCAATTTTGTTCTTGCCTGATTTATTTATTTGTTTGGGCTTGGATGAGATTATATTATTCTCGCAAGCATAAATCTCTGAAACGATTTCAAAAGAGATAACAGCAGTGACTTATCATGCCAAATTCAAAGAGGACATAATATTGTTATTGTTGTCAAAAAAAAAACAAGATATAAATAATTATACTTCCTTATATAAATATACTTATCTTTTACTCCATCTAAGTTTGACTTTCTTAAAATGACAAAAAAGTAAAAATGACCAAATGTGTATAAAATTATCTGAAATAAAAAAAAAGGTTTTTATGATTCAGTAACTTCTTATCATAGAGTACCTGTAAACTCTCGGCAAAACTTATCGATTTTATTTTATTTTTCATATTATTTATTTACTTCTTTTTTTTTGAGTACGAATATTTTTTTTAAAGTTTGCCGTCTAAGTCAGCGATTACTCGGCATCACAGTTTTTATATTATTTTTATCGCCTCTTGTTTAGGTAAATACGGCCGCGAGCGTGTCCGAGTCGCACGAGCGAGACATCGACGCGGCGATGTTCAGTATAGCGCGCTTTACCAAATTGATACTTTAATTTGCAATTATTGATTATACAATAAATGCCATTATTAATTAAAGTTAATTAGAAGTGCTATGATGGATCCCTACTGTAGCAACGAACGATTCTAGATAAGAATCCTAAGTGGAGCAAAGGATACAAGGAT